ACCGGGACAGCGATCCAGGAAGTTGGCCCAGAAAGTGCTACCGTCTGGATTACGTCTGGATGTCCAAGCCATAGATATGTCAGAGGCTAGGTTGCATTTGCGTGAAATGGCCACCGTGGCTTGAGTTCATCTGTGGGAGCACGGTGGACTCTCGCAATACATGAATAATTGCAGACAGAAAGACGAGCATTGATAATACAAGATATATTTATGACATGGGAAAAAAAGTGTTGATTGATTTTTGTTTTCATAACTGATTACACAAAGAATTTGTAAAACTTCCAAGGACCTTGTTATAACAGTGTTCCACTGTACATGTACATGTAGTTGTCTCAGAGGTGTTCTTCCTGACACTATGAATCTCAACACTGTGAAAATATAGTTTACACTTAATTCACCATGAAACTTTCTCACATGGCAAAGTAAGCCCTTTGTATTTCTCAGATTGATTGACTTGTTTATTCCCTCCAATAAAGCGTAATCTCTTTTGTATGTAAATCCTGAATTGTGTGAGGTCAAGATTTTCTTCAAAAGTGAATTAAGTTAATACGAAATTTGGTTCCTGGTTTCTTGAAATAGTAACCAAGGGTTACATTATCTTAATTTTTTTTTATTGTTTTAGCCTTTGTGACCTTGACCTTGTTTGCCCAATATGTGATATGGTTCCTAGGATCTCAAGTTATCCACTGACAAGATTTCTATTGCTTAAGCTGTTGTGACATTGCCCTTTTAACTTTTGCCCATAACTGCAAAAGTGGCTTCCTTACCTAGGATCAAGAGCAATCCACAAACCAAATTTAAGTCCATACACAACGTAAGTTTCAAGTTATCCTGCTGACAGGAATATTCTGGACTCACATTAATACCCACGGCAGAAACAGTATGCACTTTTTGGGACGGCAAGAAAGCCCACCAGCGTATGACTCATCAAACAATGTGAATTTTTTAAACAATAAACCTGGAGCTTTGAAGTTTTTCATGGTTCTGAAAAGAACTGGAAAGGACTCAACATTTTGGACAGTATGCTTTCAGCAGCATACAGTTAACCACGGGAACAAGAAAACAACAGCATCTCATTTCTAGACATTGAGGTACCCAGAAAGCAGGATGGCAATTTTACCGTTCCAGTTTAGTGGAAACCCAAACAAACATATAAATACCTACACGGCATGTCCTTCCATCAATCCAAAATTAAGTCTTTAGTCAACTGGGCCCCTGTCCATAGGGCATACAAAGTCTGCAACAAGGAACATCTCACCCAAGAACTCCATCACATCACTATAGCACTGCACTGAAATGGATACAAGCAAAGCCAAGTCAAGACACACGACTCAATATCCATCCCTGGCTGAAGGGTCACCTATACCCAAAGCCAACTAGTTGGGGTCCACTGTTCTATTACCCACCCCTACCTAGGAAGTACTTGCCAGCACATCCTGCACAAGCATGATATTCAAGTGTAACATACAATCTACAGCACAATCCAGAAGTGCACAAGATCCCCTTCCAATGTAGCAAAGTGCACATCGGCAAGACTGGCAGGGACCTGCCTACCAGACTGAGTGAAGACAGAGCCCAGTGGGAGTGCCGTCATCAAGCACTCCCACACCAAAGACCACCAAACTGACTGGAGCAAAGTCAAACTCATAACCAACGATGCATATTGCAACCCTCGCTGTCCAGAGAAGCCATCCAAATCCTCAAGCTCAATATGCTACCACAAGACATCGGTTTCGACAGTGACATTTGGCATCCCATCCTCACACCCCAGTCCAAAGGGTTTTCTATACCCTACGACATGTTACCCATCTATGGGTCTCTTATACCCCTGGCAACCTTCCCGCGTGCTTCCTCCTCCAGACTGACACATTTCGCCAACCTGCTAGCATCCCATGTTCTGCTCGAGTTTCCTTGGTTGGATCCTGAGTTAGCATCCTTTCAACCTCCAGACACTTTATAAGCCGCTCCATCACTGGAACCTCTACAGTCTCCTGACGACCGACAAAGAATATTGTCCAAAATAGTGAGTATCCTCCGGTTCTTTCAAAACCACACATATTCAAAAGAGATGTACCTTTGGATGATGCTTCCGAAAACCTCTCAATCTAAAAGTAAACCTTATGTTATTTGAAAAATGTAAACATGAAATAAAATTACTAAGGATCTTGAAGTAAAGTAATTCATTACTAAATGTATACAATTTGAGAATTACAAGATCAACTGCTTCCCTTCCATGTAAGTCATCTTTCCTGCAAAAATTATGTTAAGGATATATATATATCCATTTTGTTGTATGTTTGCAAATGTAAAGTCCAATGTGACACACCAATAATCTTTGAGCACATGGCAGTTCGGATATTTCACATATGGATTGCCATGAGTGACTGATCATCTAAACTTACATCAGAGACACCCCGATGAGAATTCTGCCTAAGGAGTGTGTTGTCATAAATGTACTGTATGATGAAACAGTTATTAATTTTGTCTAGCAAAGTAAACATCATGCAAATGTACAAACCCAAGGGCGGGCATGAGCCAGATCTCATACCCATAATTCTTTGCAACAATAACGATTTAGTGATTCGGCAATAAATCCTATCGGGTTCCTAACATAAAGTTTCAACCACTATTTGGGGGCTTTGGCTTGGAGTGATATACTTTTACTATAAAATTGGGCTTCAACTTCAATAAAATTATTATTATTTTTAATTTTTTTAATGTACTGTATGTCAGGGAATATCAGTCAGTGTGAAGACAAAAACCTATAATTAGATTAGGTTTTTCATAGATGTGGAATTATGGTTCGAAGAATTTTGTCTTTTTGGTCTTTCTTTTTCAAATTATATAAATGTGGAAAGAAATGCATTCATTTATCAAGGTTTTGGGGTTTATGGCATTACTTAAAAATGGAAAATGCCAATGGTTTACACGATCAGATAGTGCAAGAGACTGGAATGCATCATTGGTGCTGTGCATTTTGGTTACTGTCTACAGACTTATTCTGCTGATTATTAAGGTCTGGATAATACATTTTAAAGCCATTGGCGATAAAATGCTTTATACACATAGGGCGCATGGCCTATTGGTACAGCCCTTGGTCTTTGGTCAATATTACAGGCATAGTCCATGGCAGCACACACAGGGATTGGAAAAATGGAAATAAGTAGGCCACTGAGGTCAGCAGTGACTTGGGCCAAAAGGGTCAGCCGGCAGTGGGGGGACTGTGATAGGTAGTAATGGGAGATTGGCCTTCCCAGATGTCACTTTGTCACAGCTTAAGGAAGAGAAAACTTCTTGAGAAAATTTGTTTCCTCTTCCTGCACCTCCGTCCACTGATTCTAGCATTTTTAGTAAGCAGAAAAGATACCCAAAGTTGTAAATTTTAATCGTAAGTCAAGCAGCTTCCGTAATTAGATAGTTAGTAGCAGTTACAAAATTAATAACCTCACAAAGATGCAAGAAGGACAACCCGGTACGTTCCAACCGGACCTGGTATCCCTGGAAAGTTTCAGCCAGGGAAACTGATTATTGACTTTATTAGGTAGCTTATTATTTAATCCTTGTATGTTCCAACCGGGGCTGTTGTTTTATCTTATTGGTGATATTATTGCGGGCCTGATCAGCCCAAAGGCAAGGCTGTCCAGTTCAGTGTTGGCTTGTGGTGTTTACAAGGTCGGTCGACCAACAGGGATTGGTGATAATGGATTTGGTGTGTCAGGTGGCACAGTTATGTTTATGAGGAGCCCACTGAGCCACACAATACGATTATCGATTATCGGTGGGATGGCAGTTTCTGGTGGACTCTGTGAAAAGGGTGATTGATAAATTGAAGTAGCAGAGTATCTGGACAGTGGTTGTTCCAGGTTTGTTTGTCTGCTGTCTGTCAGTTGGTGGCCCTGTGTTTGGTAACCAAATCCTTGCCCTGCACAATATCATTAGTGCTAGTAGTTTCTTCTTGAATAATCTGTGATACCAATAAAACAATATTGAAGCTGTGGTAGAATCGCATTTAATTGGCTATGCTGCGTGTTGATTGCGTCCCTCTGTGTGTAACAAGCTGTCATCCAGAAACTGTGAATACCTTTCACACACAGATCACCGACCATAATTTTTTTTATGCAACTGAGTGACAAAAATCTTTTGTCATAAATGGAATTTCATATTGCGTTGTAATGGAGTTTCTCCCCATGGGCATGTGCACATTTTCACTCGGACCGAAGATGTGTGTTTGTTATACTAGTGCTTCTAGTCACAAATAATGAGAGTCAATTATACATGAATTAATGGTGTGCCACTGGCTTGTTGAATACAATACACAAAGGCACGGCAAAATCATTTTCACTTGGGCTATATGTTAACAAGGCATTTAGCATCCGTATTTAAAAACAGGTTTTTTTTTCACTGACCACCAGTTCTATGTAAAATCAAGAAATGGAGAGGAGGGGTTGATCAAAGTGGACAGTACTGGGCAATAAGTAGCAATTTTTATGTCTGCAAAATTCTCGACTTGGATACCTAATTTGAATTGCACTATATACTTTATTCCCTCACCAACAACGTCTTATATAAGTTTAGTCTTGATAAACAGGATAAAACCAAGAAGGTTCCATTCATTCTCCGCAAGTAAATGGAGTATTTTCTACTTTTAAGGTTTTATGCAGATTTGTTATCAAGTAATACAATCCAGATCAGTGATTCTGCTACTTAAATACATACAAACCTGTGGCAAACATACCACATAAATCTGGAAGAAAAAGGTATTAAGGACATAAATCTAACCAGCAGTGATCCAACATATGTTGATCCTTGACACTGTAACGTTATCATTTTTGAGTAAAACATTAGCTTAACTCTCAACAGCATGCTTTTATGGGTAAAATTTTTTTTTTTGCAATTTTAGGACATCAGTTTCATTGGATCTACTGGTAAACACACAAACAATGAACATTGTTTTGTAGTCCATGAGAAGTGATCCATCTTTTCCGCATATTCTCACTTACTTCATTTTCACATCCAAGGCAGGAAGACTCCTTCCCAAGTAGACCTTACACACCACCAACTGGCCAAATCTAAATGGGCATGGGTCTAGGCATGGCCCTTTCACTGCCTTGTTGATGGCTGATTCTATCCTTGGTTTATCACACAAGCTCAGGCTGTTAGACAGAGGTATTGCCCCATCAAGACCAAGTTGCTACAAGGAAAAATAACAGTAAGAGTTAGAACAGTAACTTCTGCATACTGTCGACTGAGGGTTACTTTCTTAGTACATTCTCACAAAATAAACAAACAATAATAATCATAGAAATAACAGAACAGTGAAAAACCTTTTGCCATGTTGAGAATTATTGAAAAACATTTCTGAACAATAAGTACAAGCAGTTGCAATTATATATATTCTGCCACTACAGTGCAACACTGCTATACTGAGCAATACCCTTTTGCAAGTTACATTTGAATAAAATCTGGTACATGGAGTTTGAGATCATAACAATTAGACTTCTCCATACGAAAGACACTTGCTCTACATGCTATACATCGTGATCTGGGGCAAGCTTTTGCAAGGTAACATAAGCGATGCATTACACCACTGTTTTCAGTGAAGAAGACGGACACAAGAATCCAGTCCATTCAAGAGGTGGTGGCTGCTATGCAAAAGCTTGACCCAAATTATAAGGTATGACACCAGTATCTTTAGTCTGGGGAAATTCGAACTATTGGAATAATTATTTAAATTATTCAAATTTGAAGGAATAACATTAAGGGAAAGGAGTGCACTTATCTGAAGTGCTGTTGAAGCTGTGGGTAAAAATAACTGTTTTGACTGTCAGGTGAGGAAGTGAAGAAGACCTAGCCAGTTCAAGGTGTTTTGGGCAGTTTGAAAAGAAGCCAAGGTGCCAAGTTGGAATGAGCTTTTCAGAAGGAGGTTACTCCAGAAACAACCTTTTAACTGACAGGTGTAGGCACTGTTGGACATTTTAAAGCTGTCTTTCACACGTACTGACCAATGGCTGATTTGTAGCCTCAAGATAGTGGACATCTGCAGGCTAGAGTTGTAGAGATAAAATAAGAAGTCTCTGATTGACTGTTTCTGATGAAGAATAGCGATCCGCAGTTCTCTATTAACTCTATTTGAAGAAGTGTTCTTAGAAACTGTCTTCAGTTTTTCTGGCTGTGACTCCCCTGCTCCTAGCTGCGAGGCCTGCAGCATCCTCTGGAGGCCTGCTGCTCTGAAGGACAGCTTGAAAACATGTGGGCAGAGAAACGAAGACTACCTGGATACAGTAGTTTGGATGCTGGTTGTATAAATACATCCAGATGGTATAGAAGAACAATTGGCTAGGAAATTAGTAGATCAAGGAGCCAAGGAAACGTTGCCTGCCTAGCCAGTATGGAACAATCAGGATAATTTATTTTGCATGTCTCCTGGCTGATTTGGGCAAAACTCAAGGAAGCTGTGACTAGAGGGAAGGCAAACCTTGGAGGGAAAAACTGTCCAGTTGATGCTCAAAGAGTCTGTGGCCCAAGCCTTAAAATTGGCATGAGAGAGGAGAATGTTGGTGACTAGCAACTAAGGTGGGAGGCAAGTAGGTTAATTTGTGGAGTTCCTAGACTGTTGAAACTCTGTTGGTCTTTTGGATGAAGTAACCACAGTACCGATACATCAGGGCTTCTTAAAAATACCGTTCTTCCCAAATAGGTAACTTGCTCGAAGAGAAGTCTGATGAGGGGCACACAAACTGAGGCATTATGCACAGGATGATAAATGCCCCCCTCCATGATTCAGGTAGGACACCACTGTAGAATTTCCATTCTCACCTGAATGAAGCAGCTTGTTACACTGCTGGTTAATGTGAAGGTATCATGCCACTGGAGACCAAGACCCTGTGACAGACAGGTCAGTCAGGAGAGACATGTCTGCAGGTGAATGCCTCAATCCAACTCCAAAGCATTTGTTGTTAATAGTGTCATTGTCAGAAACGGCCACTAAAATGGGGTGTTGCAGAGATTTTGATTGGAGAGTCACCATCCAATATGAGATCGGATGATGGCATCCAGAAGGAGAATAATGGTACAGTAGATGGAACTAGATGTATTCCAGGTGAATATCCTTCTGAAACCAGGGTACAACAACCACACTAAGCTGAACTAGAACGGCAAAGCTGCCATAGCCCGCTGCTTGGTATGAATTTGAATTTTTTTCTTGTAATAACAGGAAAGAGACATCCAAGTTATACAAATATGGTTACTAAATTAAACAAGAAAATACTAACAAAACTTCAAAATATTTTTACAAGATTGGTTGAAATATGACTGCAAAACAGATGTACAGGCTTTATACACGAAGCTGGGGAGTCTGAAGCTGGGACAAAAGACCTGGGCCTTGTAACAAAAACCATGCTCAACACAAAAGACTGAGTTGCTGGGTATAACCGACATTTTTTCATTCTCAATAGTGGAGATAATCCAGCCTTGTTTTGAAACAGTATACCAAGGTTGGGGCATTTAGAAAGAGTGGATTACCACAGGGGACAAAAGCGCTCCACCACCGCAACGATGAGCCACACAGCAGCCCTGTAGTTAATCTGGCCTGTATTGAAAAGATGCCAGCAGTGCACTGTGCTGGTTTCGGGAACAAAAGACACTTACATAACACTGCACAATCTGGGCTCTTTTTACAAGGCTGCAGGCCTAGCTGAAATATTCAGGAGTCAATGAAGGTTACCTGTCAACTTAGAGTATCCATCAAAAAGTCCTTCATGTGGGTGTAAACGTCCGTTAAATGAAATGATGAATTTTTGAAGAATTTTGAAAACTGAAAATCTTGAAAATCGCCCCATATACACTGCAGTTTTATAAGCACCTGGCAGCATGTGGTTAAGCTGAAACTGTGCACAACTGACAATTGAACTTACACGATATGTTTCACCGTCCAAAGGCCCTTCTTCAAGGATCTTCATTGGCTCATCTTCTCCACCTGGTAAATCAGGGTCCCAAACAAAGAACAAGTACTCCTGAAGTCTCTTGAGTGTTGGCGCTCTGCATACAATAAAAAAGGACAAAGCAACAAATATGGGGCACTTCAGGGCATTTGTTTGCAAGTTTGATATTTGTCAGCATAGCCAATAATGTTTGGACTAAAATGACTGTTACTTTTTTTTCATTTGGCATCAATATACCTACGAACACAAGACCAAGAGCTCATCTTATCCCAACACTTCATGCTGGAAGAAGGCAACAGTTGCGCCTGTAGAAAAGTCTAATTACCGGGAGACAGCTGTAGCAGCATACCACACATGCAACCTTTATTCAGTGTACATCTGTAATTACTGGGACCTTTGCATTGAATGGAAATCTGGCGCAACCTGGAGAGTTGGTTGATCTCCTGATACTCGGTAAATGGGATTTTTTATTCATCAGAACACCCTACTGTCTTTGATTGAATACCCTGGCTAATCTCCGTGGAGCATCACTCGAGGTCGTGGTCAAGGCTTATGCAACACGTTCTATGTGGGCTCGGAGCGCGATGAATACAGGTCATTGACATGGTGTGCGGGCTACGGTTTACGGCTCTACTGGGCTGGGAACACGTGGGCAGCACCCCAGCACCATACACTTGGGATACAGATGGGCTATTGTTCAGTGTAATTGGTTATTTGTTTTGTCAAAAAGCAGCATTTTCTGTAGCGCTGGGTATATATTTGCTTGGCCACTTCCCGGCCCTTCAGTTGCATTACACAATGTCTTCAAGTGAAGAGGAAACTTTGACTGCGACTAGTGGTTCAGATTTCACATCGGACTCTGAACATGGTTCAGAAATTGAAACTAGTGACAGCGATTCTAACAGGCAACCACCGTTAGCGAGGCCTGCCAAGAAGAAGGTCAAGACTTCTTCGTCCATTCAATGGACAGTTGCTGAAAACTTGACAACACGGCTTTCAAGGCACAGCGGGTGTTCAAATGCAAGAACTGGACAAGAACAGCACTCCTGTCGAAATCTTCAAGCAGTTCTTCACCCCAGAGCTGACGTTGCACATTGTCAATGAGACCAACCGCTATGCTACTGAACATCCGAAAGTCAATCAGAAGCAAGTCCAAGTCACATGCGAAGCTGGTTCGACACAACACCACACGAGATGTCAGTGTTCCTGTCCATGACCATCATCATGGGACTTATGCCGAAACCCGACTTGAAGTCCTACTGGACAAGAGACTCAATACTTGAGACTCTGTTTTTTCTAATACAATGCCACGCGACAGATTTATGGGCTTGCTGTCCTATCTGCATTTCGTTAATATCAGCCATGCAGATGCGACCGATCGACTCTACAAGCTCCGCCAGGTGGTAGACGAACTGGCTGAGATCAAGCCCGTCTACATTCCGTCCAGCAAGATTACTACCGATGAGTCCCTTTGGAAATTCAAAGGGAGACTGAAGTTCAAGCAGTACAACCCCAAGAAGCATGCAAGGTTTGGCATCAAGGTGTGTCGAGTCTGCCAGAGCACAGGTGTTGTCACTTGATACACCTGGAACTTCAAGATTTACACTGGTAAAGACCAGACTGTTGGACTGGCAAGTACGAAAATTGTACTTGACTTGAACGTCAATCTTCTTGGCAAAGGGTACAGCATTTTCCTGGACAACTGGTTCAGCAGCCCAGATCTGTACCTGAAACTGCACGACCAGAAGACAAACGTCATCAGGACGGCGAGACTAATCGTCAAAACAAGCCCAAGGACTTGTGCTCCTTGAAACTCGAAAGGGATGATGTTGTTCACCATTCTGGCTTGCACACCTTTGTCTGGCGAGACAAAAAAGATGTCCGTATGCTGTCCACGATGCATACAGCTGAGATGGCCAACACCGGCAAGCGGAACGTGACAGCATTGCCTTGGAGAAACCCAAGTGTGTACTCGACTACAACGAGGGGATGAAGGGTGTGTGACTAATCGTCAAAACAAGCCCAAGGACTTGTGCTCCTTGAAACTCGAAAGGGATGATGTTGTTCACCGTTCTGGAAAAAAAGGCTTGCACACCTTTGTCTGGCGAGACAAAAAAGATGTCCGTATGCTGTCCACGATGCATACAGCTGAGATGGCCGACACCGGCAAGCGGAACGTGACAGCATTGCCTTGGAGAAACCCAAGTGTGTACTCGACTACAACGAGGGGATGAAGGGTGTGGACATTGCAGACCAGCTGGCATCATCGCACCGTTCTGTCAGGAAATCAATCATATGGTGTATAAAAGTGTTCTTATTTTTGCTTGATGTTGCTCTTGTAAACTCTTATCTTGTGTATAACGGAATTGGTGACACAGACAGTTATTTGTCACCTAGACAATTGTTAGTGAACAAAAATTTAAAGTTGCGTGCACCAAATTTGCCAGTGTATCGACCTAGAGGTAGACCATCCCGTCTGTGAGATATTGAGTGGGTTCAATGACAAAGGAATGGAACGATCTCACCTGATTTATTCGCCATCTTGGAAGTTTTTTAGCTTACAGCTTGAACACTTGAGGGCGCACTTTAGAGACAAAATAAAGAGCTGAATGGGTAGATTGTAAGAGGTGGCAAGTATTCAATATTTCCTCCCCACTGAAACAGTATCTGCAAATAAAGGTTCAGTTTCATTAAAGTCCACATTTCAAGTTTCAAATGTCTAGTTCAGCTGTTTGAATTGTATACTGAACTTAGCTGGTTTCATTTGTGTGTTTATGAGGATAGGGAATATTACACAAAGTGCAGTTTCTTTTGTTTATGCTTCACCGTCAAACACTGAGTATTATGGAATCTCAACATGAGTTTCCTAAAACCTTTTTTGTTTTGTTTTTGTTTTTTTTGTTTAACTAAAACTGAACTTAATTTCCCTTTTTCTCTTTTTTTTTGTTTAACTTGAAACACTTAACTTAAAGTAGGGTGGCTACCCAAGCCTGTCGGGTGTTATGAGTGTAAGGGTTTAGAGATCCAGTCTGTCTGGTGGTTTGCATTTCCTCTGTGGGTAGCGACGTTCATTGCTAGGTGGCTCCGACATTGGGCCCTTGGAAGTAGTCAGTGGATCTGCTTTAGAATGGATGACTGCTGGAGTCTGCATGGATAGAGTAGGGGTTGGAGAATCCAGTGTCTTCTGGTAAGTGGTGTCTGGAATAATCTGGGGCACTTGGTCATGCTGGATCATCTCAGGCTGCTGGTTGAAGATGTGTGGTTTCCAGTATCGGCATCAAGAAGCTGATCAATGTGTCTGTGCCAGATGGAGTCTGGGCTGACTAGAACCTCGTACTACAAGGGCCCAGTTTGGCAATGGATTACACCTGGGATCCACTTCTGGCTATCTCGGTAGTTACGAACCAGCACATGTTGGCCTTTGTGCAGGTTTCTGGTTGGCTTCACAGATTTGCAACTGGCGGATTGCTCAAGCAGTTTATGAGCAACACGCTGACGTATGTCCGGTTTTATGATGTCCAGTCTCGATCGGAGGTATCGTTCCATGAGTAGGTAGGCTGGAGAATGACCAGTAGTGGCATGTCGTGCATTCCGATAAGCAAGAAGAAAGCCGCACAACTTCTGCTTTACTGATCCCTTTCTCCCCTTCCATTGACTGCAGTCCATTTTTGAAGGTTTGAACAAAACGCTCTGCAAGCCCGTTTTTTGATGGGTGATATGGGGGCTGAAGTAATGTGTCGAACCCCACTGCGTTTCAGGAAGGTTTGAAATTCCTCCGATATGAACTGAGGGCCATTGTCACTCACAAGTTGTTCAGGGATACCATGTTGTGAGAATATGCCCCTGAGGATGTCAATGGTCTGGCTGGATGTTGTGGTGGTAGTTTGGATGACTTCAGGCCATTTTGAGTATGCATCAACAACTACCAGGAACATCTGTCCCATGCACGGACCTTCGTAGTCGATGTGAATTCTTTGCCAGGGTTTTACAGGCCATTCCCAGGTATGTAGTGGGGCTTTAGCGGGGGTGTTGTACTTTCTGACACCCGGAACATTCCTTGACCAACTGTTCAATGTCGTGGTCAATTTCGGGCCACCAAACAAATCCTTGAGAGAGAGTTTCCATCTTGACAACACCCAGATGACCCTCATGAAGCTCTCTCAGGACTTGTGTGTGCAACTTGTCAGGAATTATTACGCACAGTCCCCACATCAAGCAACCATCATGTACAGCGATTTCATTTCTGCGGCTATGGTAGGCTGCCAAGGTTGGGTCAGTGTCTGTTGACGACTTTGAGTGTTTTGTCCTTTGTAATTTCCCTGCGGATGTCACTGCTGGAGACTGGCAGTGTGTCAAGTTGTGACATGTGGAGGATGTCAACAGGATCTGTTGGTTCTGATGCAGTCTGGCTCATGGGCAATCTTGATAATCCATCAGCATTGCTGTGTTTTGCAGTGTTTTTGTATTCGATGCTGTAATCATGACTGTCAAGGAAGACTGCATATCTTGCTAGACGTGCTGCTGCAGTCACAGGAGTGCTTTTCACAGAATTGAAGATACAGGTCAGGGGTTGATGGTCCGTCACCATGGTGAACTTTCGTCCTGATAGGTACGGGTTAAACTTCTTTACTCCCCGCAAGTGCCTCTTTGTCAATCTGGGAATACTTGCATTTAGCCGACGTCAAGGTACGTGACGCACAGGCTACTGGGCGTTCGGTACCATCAGGCATGACATGTGACATGACAGCGCCAAGACCATAGGGTGCGGCGTCACATGCCAGCTTCAAAGGTAGGCTTGGATCATAGTGTGTCAAAACTTCATCTGATGTGATCAAGGACTTGGCTTTCTCAAATGCCTTCTCACAAGTAGGAGTCCACACCCACTTGTGGCTCTTCTGGAGAAGCTCATTCAGTGGATGCAGTTCAGTTGCCAAATTAGGTAGGAAACAGTGATAGTAGTTCACCAAGCCCAGGAATGAGCGTAGTTGCCTCACGCTGGTAGGATGAGGGGCATCTTTCACCGCTTTGATCTTGTCTTGGGCTTTCTTTAAACCTTCAAAGGTTATCTCGTGGCCACAGAAGATCACTTTGTTCTTGAAGAACACACATTTTGCTTTGTTCAAGCACAGGCCATGGTGCTTGAGCACGTCAAGGACCCTCCTCAGATTGCTGAGGTGTTCCTCATCAGTACGGCCTGTGATAATCATGTCATCTAGGATACACTGGACTCCAGGTATGCCTTGGAGCAGTTGTTCCATGGTTCTCTGCCAGATTGCTGGTGCAGAGGCTACTCCAAATGCTAGGCGATTGAAGGTAAACAGACCTTTGTGGGTGTTTATGGTGAGTAATTTTTTGGATTCTGAATTTATCACCATGTGCAGGTATGCTTGCCGTAAATCAAGTTTGCTATACTTCTGCCAACCTGCGAGAGTGGCAAGGAAATCTTCCACTCTGGGTAATGGGAAGTGATCGATGTTCAGGTTTGGATTCACCGTCACCTTAAAATCACCACAAATGCATACCCCTCCATTCGGTTTTGCCACTGGAACAATTCGGATTGCCCATTCACTGTGCTCTACAGGGGAAATTATATTTTGTTCCTGCAGTTTTGTCAATTCTGCTTCCACTTTGGGCGTAAGGCATAAGGTACCTGCCTGGCTGTCAAATACCGGCTGGGCATTCTCCTTCAGGTTGAGTTTCCCATTGATACCCGTCAATTCACCAATTTCCTCTGTGAAAAGCTCTGGGTATTCGTTCAACAGGGATTTCAGCTTGGCCTCAGTCGTGCCTGTAGTTGGGGGCACAGCCGTCGATAGAGCCAATAATTTTGGCCAGTTCAATTTAATGTGGGCTAGCCAGTCACGGCCAAGCAATGGGGTACCACCACTATCAATGACGTAGATCTTCCCAGTGTACCGCTGTTTGTTGTACTCAACGTTCACCTCCAAGAACCCTGCTGGCGAGACTTTCTCTCTCGTGTAAGTCTGCAGTTTCATCTTGGTTGGGTGTTACTTGTCTCCCTGGAAGAATTTCTCATAGTCAGCCATGGATAGTATTGTGATGGCTGACCCTGTGTCAACTTCCATCTTTACTGGCTGGTTGTTGATGGAGAGTGTGACCCAGACAGCAGTGCTCATATCACATTTGTTTCCATCTACGTTGTGTACTCTCATTCTGGCTATCAAAATGTCCTCATCTTCATCATCTGTTTGTGGAATTTCTTCCATAACTTTGACTTTTCCCTTACGCCAAGGTTGGGGTTGTCTGGGCTTTGACTGCAGTTTGTTGCCCTGGGAACGAGGTTTGGAACGGCAGACTGGTGCTATGTGGCCAGTTTTTCCCCATGCATGACACGTTGCATCTTTGAATCGGCAAGTGTCAGCAGAATGTCCTGATCTGCCACATCTGCAGCATGATGTTTTGCTTTTGCTACAACATGTACAGTCGGGTCGGAATTGGTCTGCTGTTGAACTTTAATGGCATCTTTAGCGGCTGTTTCCATCGCCGTTGCAATCTTTGTTGCCTTTTTAGTGTCAGCTTATCTTCAGCAAGTAGGCGTTTTTGAATGCTACCTGCCCGCAAGCCACAGACAAATCGGTCACGAAGTGCCTGGTCGAGGTATTCGCCAAAATGGCAATGTTCAGCCAGTTTATGTAACTTGGCAAGGTAGGTGCTGATACGTTCCCCCTCCTTCTGATCTCGCTTATGGAAACGGAAGCGCTCTGCGATCACCAAGGGTTTGGGGGCGAGATGTGCTGTCAAAATCTGAATCAGTTCAGCATATGACTTGGATGATGGCTTGGCTGGAGTAGTGAGGTTCTTGAGCAGTCCGTATGTTTTACATCCAATGAGGCTGATAAATGCTGAAACTTTTCGCTCATTAACAATTCCATTGGCTTCAAAATACTGCTCGAGACGCTTCACATGTTGGCCAGTCCTCCTCTTTGCTGTTAAATGGGTCAATTCGACCAATGAGTCCCGACGCCATAATGTTCACCGACTATACACGTGTGTATGTTCATGTATTGGCATGCACAATATGTAACGAAGGGTTGGAGCACGGGAAAAAGGGTCCCCAAATCACTCCCAAAACAGCTCAGATATCAATGCAATATGCCAAATGTTTACTTGTACAGGTGAGCAAATATATCCTTTGTTATTCTATATGACTATTTAAACATCCTCATTGCCATTTTGTGAGATATTGAGTGGGTTCAATGACAAAGGTTTATAATAAACTCAATTCCCATTGCCTTCTCTATCTTAAACACATTACCCATTATATGATACTATAAACGTTAAACTAATGGGTATGTTCAACAAAGTCTGTATAATTCTTTGACGAGGTGTGGTATCCGGGCTGAGTGTTGTAAAATGTGAACAAACCGGCCGTTGATTTGGGACCGATATTGACTCTAATTTAGCCAAATCTTGGCCCGCTCGCACGGCGATTGATTTCTCACGTTCTGATTGCAATCACTACCTGCTGTTTTCGGGGATCTCAGGCAAAGTTGGTACCAAATATCTCAGCACTTAACACACACACACGATTCTGCTTTTGAATGTGAATGTTTCTCAGTGACATTCAGTATTGTTCTGACTCTTTTTGCTCACACACTCTAAACCATGGTATCTACCACTTTAATTTACAAATCAACACAAACAAACAGATGTACCAACATAGCAAACAATAACAGAAACACGTTGAACAAAATCCATGGTCATTAAAGTGTGATCGCAGAGCGAGAAAAGTAAAACGTATTTCATTGGTCTTCGACGGCTGTTGCGGGAACCGAACCTTTTTTTTTACATAAGTGAGATCTTTTTTTTTTTAATAAATGATGGGATGTACAAAATTGCTGTGACAATATGTAAACATCAATGAATTTATCATCTAAACGGGTGTGGAAATATCTTTGCACACTAATATACACTAAAGCCAATTTCCAACTTGTGGAACGTAAGGAAGATGATTTACATTTCCCCCAAACCGCTCTTTAATTAGGTAAAAAGTAAATTTACTCAATGGGACACTGCAGTTTGTAGGCACTACCACCACACTGTTGAAACACAGTTAAAATGGGTGACTGTCCATTTGGACTGCCGATAGACCAGGAGAGGATTAAGGCTTGAATAACAAAGAGTGGTGGGTTCGGTTGAAACACTGTTAAAAACGGCATGGACATTTTTGCTTGATCTATGCAATTAAAACGGGGTTAAAATCAGGGTAGAATACTTTTAACCAGGAAACAACATTTAACATCTAACTTTCATAGTGTTAACATTGTAACTGCAGAAACGAAATAATATAATTCCTAAATGAGTACCCATGTAGTCTGCAGAACAAATTAGGAAAAATTGAGCCTGTTCGCACGTCATCCACGGAAGTCATTTTCAGAGGCAAAAGGATCTAATGGCTTGAATATTAACAATTTTTGCATGTAAGGTTTGTCCATTCTTGGCAATCTACCACAAGAGAAAGAGGAATACAGAATAGTTTTCAATATCTACATTTACAATCAATCTTTCATGGAAATGTCTCACCTGCTTACAGTAAGTGACTCCTCTTCCTCAACACTGGCACTCAGCTTGTTATCAAAGCGATATTGCAGCATTCTGTTGTGAACTCTGGTGATAGTGTGAATCTTGATACCAACTATGTTGTGGACTTTGAAATCAGCAGCACAGAACCGTGAGAGGATAAGGTCATGACAAGATGAGAACCTAAGTACAGTATGTGTAAAAAGAAATAATAAAAGACATGTATGTACACTTGAATGACGTGAAAAGGTATTCTTTACAATACCTGATTAAATTCCTGTGATCTGATTATTGGGTTATTGATTTCAGGTAACTGATACAGTGCATAGCAAGGCAAAAATAAATGTTCTTTCCACAGCAAGTTCCAATGCAAGGCCACACTTGTGGAGCCCTGACCAGCTCTTCAGGAATTTCTGAACTTGTAGGTAATGCAAGGATTTGTTTATTTAGGTAGTAACAATTCCACAGTGGTACAACAGAAAGAATCATTCATTCAGAGACACAGAGAGTATTCATTCTACTCAGCTGTGCCACCTTGAACAGAACATTCCACAGTCATTTTGTAAAATATCATTGAACTAATAAACGCTCAAAATAAAATTGTTCATCCTATAATCACACTTGCTTATGAATATGGTCAGACATTATGCATGCCAATTTTCGGACAGCCATGCCTTTAAGTTCCCTATTAGGCCAATGATTGCCATAGGGTCTGTGCTTCAGGAAACTTTGATCAAGATTCAACCTTGCACAGGGACTAAAGTCCTCCTGTGAAAACTCTGTACAAAAGAAATGGGATATTCAGAGAACTGCGACAAGAAGAAGAAAACGAAAACAAGATGAACATTGTGTTTGTCAAAACACTGAGCTGTTTCGAGGAGTTTTTCAGTCAAAAAAAAGTTGGTATATAGGGTTTCAAAACGATCTTTCATAAACTTCAGCAGGTACAGTACTTTTCTTGGGACTTAATGGGCCTTAATAGACCGCTACCCTCTTGATGCAGCCATCACAGTACATGCTAATTTCTTTCACTGTGATGAATCTGCCTGCTAATCAAGCAGGTAGATTCGTCATTACACACTCACACGCTTTTCCCTGCCGTGTGGTCAGTACATTGCCAAAACACTGCTCCGGAAGCAGAGTGGCCCCTTTATATGGGTTACATGTAAAAAAGAAGCACATGGCTCTTACCCCTATGGGTCGTGTTGCAAGCATAATCAACGGACAGCAGGTTTTTCAGTAGCAGCACACAGTGTGTATAAACAATTAAAGGAGCCTTAAATCTTGGACAATGGATACAGATATTTATTCCAGTTTTCAAAGGGCAACTTTGGCCTGCAGCTGTCGGGATTGATTTTTTAGCCATTTGTAATGAATTACGAATTAAAGTTTTTTTCATTGTAACTTCCAGTCTGATGACATCATCAGCCCCAATTTTTGTAGAAATGTTGCAGACGTAAAAGTCACTGTGTCTACCAATTTTCAAGCGACTCAAGCGAACTTTGCCAAAGAGATCTATTCAAAATACATTTTTGAATTTTTTGGACGTAATGGTGTCACCAAAGGGCGCTCGAGTGTTGCATGATGTAACCAGTGAATGTTTGAGGAATACCACTGTGTCGAAGACAAAGACCATTAAAAGTACATTTATATCGGTTACCAATTTTAAATTATAAAGCACTTACAGTTTGCAACAGTTTTAACCAAAAATGGGGGTCAAGCAGTTTTACATACATGAGAAGAAATGAAGATAGGAGATTATTCTATTAGTGCAAAAAGCAAGCTCCGGAAGTCATGGTTGATTTTATGTGGTTTTTGAAAATTTAACATGAATGATAATTAATTCTTTTATTACATTTTTGAGTCCCAGGCTTTGCTTTGTATGACTTTAATAAAGGTGCAAGATTGCCAGATGGGTCAGAAGACCTATCAACAATATGTACAAAACATATTGGAAAACTTAAATATGCAAAAATCCATTATAAATCACATGATGAGGTCATGATGGCGCCATGGTTGGCATACATTTTTGGAGGGAAGTTTGTTGTTTTTATTTTCACCTGTGAAAGATACTCCAAGCCTCACAATAATTAACCATTTTGAGGTAAAATTTCACTCATTAAAACTATTCAATTCTTTTTGGAAATGGTTCATCTGATGAGAAAAGTAAAATTCATGCCGGTGCAGCACTTCAGGGATCGGCACCATTGGTGACTATAAGGACTGTCTGATCAGACTTTACATTTTATACAGACCTTGTGATGCAACAGTGGCAGACATGAAACTGAACCCCCCAAAAATGATGTCATCACAATAATAATGTAACAAAAAAGGTCTCTGGTGCTGGGTTAAGACCCAGCTGGTGGGTATATTCATTGTGTTGGCACATTCCTTTTTGAGGGTGCTGGGCAATGTCCATCGAGATGAAGTACAAAAGGTACAGTGGACTGTTTCTAGCATTCCACTGATGGTTTGCTAGGTGGGCAAAAAAGGCCCATGCAACTACCACTGGGTTCTTTCCTCGCTTTGCACCAACGAGGCCTGGGTTCGAGGCCCGGCTTGGCTCAGGCTTTAAGTGCATTTGGTTTCCAGTCTATACTTGCTCTCGCAGGTTTTCTCCGGGTACTCCGGTTTCCCCCTGCCTCTAAAACTGGACCTTCTTCCTAACTCTGTAATGTGATGCTGATTAATAAAGTGTATGAATAAACGTACAGTTATTGGCGAAAATAGCCTGAGTTGCTGAAAGCGCCATTAAAACTAAAAAAAAAAAAAAACACTGGGTGAGGCATTTCCACAGAACACTCTGGCTGGGGACACATCTCTGTAGCTTGACGGGCGGTGGTCTTTTTTCCTGTACACACTGTGACGTTAGTTTTAGCCTGTTTATTTTGTACAAGTCACTACCGTCCGTCAATGTCTCTCTTCTGTCATGTAAGTCTGTATTTTGTTTGCTATGTTGTCGAGTGCTATGGGGACCTAGCCTGGTCAATCTCACTCCTTTTTTTTAGAGAATTAAGAAATAAAAATGTTCCTTTTTTATACTTTTTCTGGAGACCAAAATAAATAACTTGTGTTCGGTTGACTGATTTTGAGTTTGTGTTCTCAACTGGTGGGTGTGGCCCCCTACAAAGGGGTCCCCGTTACAATACCAATACCATTTTGGTTTCAGAAACACTGAATATCGAACAGGCCTGCAGGTGAATAGTAGTGGCTACAGATGAACAGTAAGCTGTATTGTCGCTTTGTTTGGGCTACAGAGTCTTTAGTCTGAGGTACATGTATGGGTAGAAAGGTTTTTCACTCCAACTTTCAGATGCACTCAACCTTCCTTCCCTTTCCTTCTTTACGCGGGCATAACCCTCTTTCCTGCCCAGGCTCCCCCATATCTCAACCATTCCTCACTCACTCCATCTCACCCTGCGCGACTTATTTTTCAAATGCAACTTCTTTCTGTATAAACCTATTTCCAAGGCTCATTTCCCCTTTTTCTTTTACTCCTGACGATTGGCGAGCTACTCTAAGCATGCTTTCATAGCAAACGGGGCTCATTCCCCTTTCGCCCTGCTCCTCTCTGTCATGAGGCAAGCCACTCTATGCCTTCTTTGATATAGCCAAGGCGCAAATGCTTGAACTGCTCACATGGTGTAGTTTGTGTGTATGCAGGGTCAGTAGCCAGCAAAATGGCTCTTACTCGAGCCTGACTAAGATTGACCCCCAAGAGTAATTGATGATATGATTTTGATGTTGTTGCTAATATCAAATTTTGTCATTTTTGGCTCATCCTCATCACGTACCTTCAAAGTACTGGAGTAAGAGATTTGGAAGAGAAGCCAACATTTAAAGGGCATTTCCAGTTTTGCCGGGCTTTTCCCTGACATGTCTATGCTTCAGTCTTTCATTTGGCGAGTCCATCTTTGCTTTGCTTTATGACAGCCAAGGGGCTTATTCCCTTTCAACCAGTACCTCCAAAGTAATGGAGTCAGAAATGTGGAAGAGAAGCCAACAGTTTCCCACTTTTGCTGGGATTTCCCCTGACTTTTCCCTGCTCCAGCCTTTCCTTTGGCGAGCTCATCTATGCTTTTCTTCATTAGAGCCAAGGGGCTTATTCCCCTTTTCCTCATGCTCTTAGCTTTTCCGTGGAGTTAAACTTTGTTTGCTCTCCCTCTGGGGCTAATGAGTGCTCATTCACCCCTCACCTTCTCCTGCCTTTTCGCTGAGCTAATCTTTCATTACTTTCATTGCAAGAGGGCTCCTTGCCCTTTAATATAATACACACATTAAAATATATATATATTTTTATTTTCCATTTTTACTTTTTTTGCTATTCTTTCTATTTTTCATTTTTTACTGTTTTAAGACTCCCATTTTTGGGAGGAGGGTTGTAAAAAACTGTTGCAAAGGCATAAAGCTAAAATGGTTGGCTATGATATAGGTCAATCACCATCCCCGGCCATGATCACTGGGGCCCTGATTGCCTTTCATTGTACCTATGCCTGGTCGACCGGTCCCTTGTGCTCCTTGTACACATTCCATCATGGCTCAATCAGTGCGATGTCAACTTTTCCTTTTTTTTTAACACAGAACCCATCCTAGTTGATTGAGAAAGAAAGTATTTTGGTGTTTTCCACTGGTGTTTTCCAATCAAATATTAGCCATAAAACCCTAAGAAAACAACACCAACAAATAAAATCAAGGATGGCGGAACCAAGAGTAAGGCTTTAATTTGTATCCCTGCAGAAACATTGCCTTTCACTTCTTCCTTTCAGGCTTATCCCTTGACTATTGTCGAAAGGCATCTTTATTTATATCGCAACTGGTGTATCTGTTGCTCTGTACGCCAAAACAGACCTTCCATTTATTTATGAACCTTAGCCACAAGCACAAGCTATAAAGTTGTTCAGGAAGCCCAGATAAGGCTGCAAGCACATGTGTGTGGCACCAATCAATTAAACAACGCAACAATTTTTTTGTCCTACACGTTCCCAATGCTTGGTAAAAGCAGGGAACCTAAGGATTATGCAACCTCCTATTGTGACTGTCGCTCAGAAAAAGCACATGCCATAGAGCAAACTAATTCAAAGCAAAACTAGAGGTTTGATGGTTGTTAAAACAACTGCAGGCTGTTTCGGCATTTTCGAGAAAGCATTTAAAAAAACTAATTATGAAAATATCAGCACGAATAG